TTGACTGCTACCGTGTCTACTCTTCAGTGGTAATTTCGACTGGGTCATCCCTCATTGCAAAAGTTGGGACAAGTTATTGCTGATTTGAGTTATTCTTCTGGGTTAGAATGTGAAATTTGTCAATTATGCAAGCATTATCGTAGTTCTTTTCCTCTTAGTTCTTCATGTCGTTACTCCAATCCGTTTCATGTTATTCATATAGACATCTAAGGTCCAACAAAAGTCAAAAGTATTTATGGGTTTCAGTATTTCATGATATATGTTGATGATTTTGCTCGTATAACTTGGTTATTTCTTATGAAAGACCATTCTAAATTACACAAGATCTTCACCACTTTTTATAATGAAATCCTAACTCAATTTATTGTTCGTATTAAAGTCCTTCAGTTTGACAATACCCTTGAGTACACTCATTCATTTATGAAAATCTTTGTGCTAACCATGGCATTATATATCAAACCACCCGAGCTCATACCTCCCAACAAAATGGTATTGCCGACCATAAGCATCTTCATTTGTTGGATGTTGTTCGTACCTTGATATTAACATGCATGTGTCAAAACCATATTAAGTTGATGTTGTTCTCAATTCAGTTTATCTTACTAATCACATGTATTCCCCTATTTTGAACAACAAATCTCCCTTCTTGTTGTATCTTAATAAACCAACCACCATTTAGTTTCACTCCTCATGTCTTTGTTCGTCTTTTTGGTTTAAATAGGGATAGACTTTCACCTCACTTGGTTAAGTGCGTCTCTTTGGGAAATTCTCGTATTCAGAAAGGTTATTGTTGTTATGACCTTGTTTCTCGTCAATATTATGTCAGTATGATGTCACCTTTTTTGAGTCACTTCCTTCTTTTTTTTGTCAAGCGAGACATTTTCTCTAGATTTAGTCTTTTTAAGTTGGAGGAGCTCTTGTTGCCTCTTGTGCCAGACTGCTTCCTCCACATGTCCTCCTCCCTTGCAAGTTTATCACCATTAGTCTATGGGAGGTAGAATCACCTAAAGTCATTCAATGCTTCAAAGCATTCCACTTTATTATATGTCTTTATTTAATATGTCTTTGAAGGTGGTGAGAAGGATTGGAAAGACGATGAGGGATTTCTTATGGGAGGGTAATGAAGAAGGTAACAGAGATCATTTGGTGAGATGTGACTTGGTGTCCCAATCCAAAAGTAAAAAGGGCCTTCCTTTGGGTAACTTGAAGGCTAGAAACATTTCCTTGTTTGCCAAACAGTTATGGAGATTCCCCATTGAGATAAATAGTTTATGACATGCCGTAATTAAAAGTAAATATGTGATTCAACAAAATGGATGGGATTCCAAAGTGAGTGAGAGAAGGTGTTCTCGTTGCCCTTGGAAGTACATTTCACAATGCTTATCTAATTTCTCTACCTCTGTCAAGTATTCCATTTGTAGTGGGTAGAGAATTCAATTTTTGGAGGATACTAGGGGGCTTGTTTCATCCTTTGCATCCATGTTTCCATGCTTATATAGGTTGTCTAGAAATCATAACTCACCTATTTCAAGTATGACATCATCATCTTCCACAAAAATTACTTGGAAGTTTGGAACTTTGATTTCTTTAGAAACCTTAATGAGAGAGAGATTGTCAAGATGTCTTCGCTTTTTGGTATCCTTGATAGTGTTTGGCTTGAATCCTTCTTCTTTAGACAGAAGAAAGTGGATCATATCTTCTTCAGGATTTTCTTGTAAATCTCTTTTTGAGTCATTGATTGATAAACGTTGGTTCCCAATCTTCCAATTGTCATAACTGATTTGGAGCTTTAAGGCACATTTAAGGGTACAAGTTCTTACTTGGTTGCTTGCACATAAAAGACTTAATACCAATGATAAACTCTACTGAACTCAACTCAATAAAGTCTTGTTTTGGACCGGCTACATGAATCTTGTTTCGCCATTAAGCTCTATCAAGGGCCATGTTTTCGGTTGAACCATAGGTTATAATATCTTTCTTTACTATTTCATTTCAAGTTAATTTTGGTTTTCCTCTACCCCTATATTTACCTTCAATAACTATCATATTACTCATTCTCACCAATATCGTAGTAGGTCATCTATAAATATGTCCAAATCACCTAAGTCGACTCTCTTTATGGTTCAAAGTATCACAGCCAAAACCGACGAGTAAGCCGAGTCGTATCCGACTCGGCACTTTCCGAAACGATATTGTTGCACGATACGTATGAACTCCGAGTTATCTGAATTATCGTCACCAAATCAAACGTTATAGCTCCGCAACGCCGTGGTATAACATGAACCTGTCGTTATGTTCAACATTTTCTTTTAGGTCATATCGCCCGATACTGCAACAAGACGCTGTGATCGATGTGTCTCAGAACTCTCCAAGTCGAAAGTCAAAATCATGATCTTAAACGAGAATTTCTCCATTAACTTATCTTCTATATGCACTACCTCTACTTTTTCATAGATATATTCGTTCCTAATTTTATCTTTCTTAGTTTTACCACATATCTATTTTAACATTCTAATTTCTACTACACATAAATTTTGAACAATTTGTTTCTTAGTTGTTGAACACTTAGTTCCATAAAGCATAGCGGATATTATAGTTGTTCTATAGAATTTTTCCTTTAACTTAAAAGGGTATACGTCTGTCACACAATACACCAGGTGCATTCCCCTATTTAGTCCATCCTACATTAATTCTATGCATAATGTCATTGTCAATCTCACTCTTTATGAATAACAGACCAATATTTAAAGTATTCACTCTTTGGTATCTTTGGATCTTCAATTTTTACTACTTGTTTTAATTTCTTCTGTTACTAAAGGTACATTACATTTACTCAGTTTTAGTCCTACTTATCCTAAATTCGTTTTTATTCTAGAGTTTCTCCCTAATTTCTAGTTTATTATTAATTTTTTCTTTACTTTCATCAACTAGTACAATATCATCTACAAATAACATACACAATGGGAGCTCATTCTGAATGTACCTAGTTAATTCATCCATAATCAACACAAAAAAAATATGAATTTAAAACAAAACCCAGATGTAAACCTGTAATAATTGGGAATCCAATAATCTCCCCCACCGTTGTTCTCACTAAAGTCACTGTATCTTCATATATATTCTTAATAACATCAATATACTTAATAATAACATTTTTCTTCTCTAAAATCCTCCATAATATCTCTCTAAGAATCCTATCATAATCTTCTATAAGTCTATAAAAATCATATGAAAGTCCTTATTTTTATCCCTATACCTCTCTATTAGTCTCTAAAGTAAATATATAGCTTCCATTTTTTATCACCCAAGCATAAATCCAAACTTATTGTCAAAAACCATTGTTTGAGACTCTAATCTTTCCTCGATCACCCTCTCCCAAAATTTCATTGTATGATCCATTTGTTTAATACACCGATAGTTTGTGCAACTTTGTATGTCTTCATTATTCTTATGTATAGGTACTAAAATACGAAGAGTATTTTTAGCTTTTCTTATCTTCATTTTCTTTAATGCATCTTTTACCTCCGACATCTTAATCCTACAAAAAAATGTATTTTCTCTAAACTTCCAATGATTTTATTATCCTCAATAACTAGGTTGTCTACATGATTTTTATTTAGTAACATTTCAAAGTAATTCCTATATTTCTTTAATTTCCTCGTTTTGTACCAGAATCCTAACGTCTTTGCTCTTAATACATTTAATATGATTAACATCTCTAGTTCTTCTTTCTCTTAATTTAGTAAGTCTATTGCCATGTGCCACAAAAAAGACCTTCATATTGTCTTTTACCACAATGATGTTCTATGTTTAAAGGTGGGGAGGAAAGTATGGATAATCTTTTTTTGAATTGCTCCTTAGTCTACATATTGTGGAGTAGGCGACTGGGACTGATTGGTATTTCTTGGGTGAGTCCAAAAGATTGTACGTAACGATATTTGAGATTCATTTTGACGGCTTTGGTAAAAGCAGCAAAGCTAATATCTTATGGAGACGTGCAATTATAGCTTTATTTAAAGTGGGGTGGGTCGATCGAAACGGACGAATTTTTGAGGAGCAAGAGATTTATTGGACGATTTATGGGATAAAATCAATTTCATGGCTTCCGTTCGGGTTACCATGATGAAATACTTTGAAGAATACCCTTCTTTTTTATTAAAGATCATCGGCCTCAAATGTGTGCCGATGGTTGAGGCTTGGGATTTTGTTATCGTGCCTCTTTTGCTATACTCATAGTTTTGCTTTTAACCTCTCTCTTATTTTATATTTCTTGTATGTAGCTTTTATCGTGAGGAATCCTTGTCCGCTCATGTACTCTTTCATGATTTTTTTGAGAATTCATAAATTTTCATGTTTCGTATCCAAAAAAATAACACATGTATATATTAAAGTATGGCATAGTTCGTAGGGACAGTCATGGCATATAGCTAACCAATGATGCATAATTAAAAACATCTAACCAAAAAAAGAACATAAAGAAGACAGTAAAGATAATGACTCCTATGTCTAGATAAGCCATAGACACCTTGCTAAAAACTGAAAGGCCACAAGCTTAAACAACAATAATGTGACAATACTTCTCTTCAACCATCAAGTGTAATTCTCATCCAAGCTAATGCTGGCTTTGGCCCAACCCCCAAATCCTCTATTCCTTTTTGCATTATGTGTCCATTACTTCATATTTACATTAACAATACCTTACTTCTCCAGCCTAGACACTTTTCTTAAATTTTAACCAGTTCTATTTTTAAGTAAGAATACATACTTATAATATACATCATAAATCCACAAGACGATATGGAGCGCATGTTTATGGCTCACTGCTCATTCCACAGTTTTTTGTCTTTAGTTCAATATTGCAGCTAGGTACTATTTTGTGTTATCACAATGGTCACTTTCTCAAACTTATGTACCAAAGTCTTCAAAAGAGAGTGTCTTCACAAATACCCATTATATTTTAGAGCCAAAAAGGCAGACAAGCCAATGGTCAAACATGGAGTTCACAGACATGAGAAGATGAGCCAAAAGCATGGGATGGTAACACAATACCTGGTTAGCCAGAAAGGATAAATATGATACCTGATCAAGACATCTTTATTACAATGGCCACACTGATAATTGTCTGATCTTTCCGCTCTTGAGAAAAGGTAGGAAAAAGCCTTTTTCTTTGAGGATTTCTTCATTACATTACCGCTCTCCCGAAGTTTCCCAGGACTCACCTTTGTGGACTTGCGGGCAATTCTTTTCTCTTCGAAACTTTTCAAGAGATGCAAAGGAAGATGAGATTCGTCCAACCAATATTTCTTCCTTGCACTGGAGGATTCTTCAACCATGGACCCATGTCTCATGACAATATCAGGGATAAGTCTTCTTTTACCAAAATCAAGAAGATATTTCACAACTGCTCCTTCTGAGCACTTCCGGCGGACTATAACTTTTTTGAATGACCTGATTGATTTTCTAGCTTCCTTGTCCATCTTTGAGAGAATGTTAGTGTTCTCAATCTCATCCCATCTAATGTTAGTATCAAGCTCCCTAACCTGAAAAAAAAATAGATATTTAATTGACTGTGCACTTTATACTGACGTGAGGGAGTGATCCAATGGTAAGGGATCATTCCCATCTTAGGTGGTTGTGGTTCGAAACTATCCCCTCAAAAAAGTGACTTTACATGCAAGAACAGCATATCCAAAATATGTAGGTTAGGCATGAATAAATATTGTTTCCAATTTTAGCATGCAAAAACAGCATCAATGTCATGTAAATACCCAAGTCCTGTCCAGGTCATACTTCACTTTTTATTCATTCCAAAGAATATAATTTGAATGCCAAAAGGCATTATCACAACTGTGATTAAGTGAAACATACGTCAATCAAACCATACACTAACTATCTCAGGAAAATGCCGATAAGTAATAGCTAAGCCTTTGCCATCTAAATCTGCATGAACAGACTAATTTGATGTCTGGGGCCCCCTAAGAAGACAAACAAAGTTTATCTGCCCATATGCTAAGGCAGGCCACAGCCACAAATACATTAGTAATATGAATTCAAGATTCAGGGGAGCATACCTGGAGAGCAAGCTGCTGCACACTTCCTGATGTCTCAACTGCAGCTCGCCAGGCAACATATTTGCTTCTCTTTGCAAATTCTGAACCATCAGGATATAAGACACCCACCATCTTCTTACAACCAGCTGCAGAATTTTAAATTTCAAGCTCATTCAGAATCATTATTCAGTTGAAAAAAAAAACACTTCAAAATCTGAACACTAGGGAAAACAAAATTCCAGACCTCGTCGGGCAGCTTTGGAAGCCAAGGACTGAGGCAAAACCTTCCAGTTGAACAGCTGACGTGACAGCCTACCACCCCTCCACCAAAATAAACTCAATCCAGAGGCAGCATTTGAAGGAGGACTGGAGTCCAGATCGGAACACCTGACACGTTTTCTGCCAATTCCATGTTTTGAAGACACGCGTAGGGAACTCACGAAATGAGATGCAGAACCCATTGTAGCAGAGGAATCCACATGTTTCAACCACTCTGCTGAGAGTGCAAAACGATGCAAATTTGACTCTAGCTGTTACAGTAGAAAAGAGTCGGAGAAATTGTGACTTAGAAATTGTTGGAGCTGAAGTGATGCAGTTCTTTACAAACTCAAGATAAAGCAAATTTGCAAATAATAAAAATGTGGCTTTGTTCAAGGTGAAAAAACAATTGTATTAGGTATGACAAGAAACCATATCTTGAGTGTTTCACGTTGATTCGTACTTTCGTGTGTCACGCATGACCAATTTATAATATTTGTCATAAGCATATTCACATGTGACATGCATGCGTAGGATTAACGTTTAATATATAATTATGAGTAATGATATGAGACCTAAACCTGAACGATGAATATTTTAATATTTAAAGATAATTTTATAAAGAATGATTATAGGGAGAATTGTTTTATTTAAAGTGTGAAAAATTAAATAAGAATGTTGACATGTGATATTATTTTATTATTTTATGTACATTAGAGCATGTGAAATTAATCGAGTGACAAACATGTGATATCAATTTATTGTTATAAAAAAAATAATAATGGAATAAAATGTATTAGTATATACAAGTAGTGGTTAAGAGTCCAAGAGACAAATTTAATAGATTGTCAATAATTTGAATATGTGTATATACATGTTCATGCATAAATATGTATAGAAGAAGAAAAAAAAGGATACATACATATAATTGTATATATGTATCTCATGATGATATATATCTATATATATATAGATATTATATTATATATAAAATAGGGTCATGATGATAATTCCACTTAGGAAGACATGTGCATGCAAAAAGAAAGACAAAAAAAAAAATTTCCCTAGGGATATTTTGGCTAGATTAAGAACCAAGAGGGAAAGAAGAAGAAAACCAAGGGAAGAAGAAGAAAAAAAAGAAAAAAAAAAAAGAAAAGAGAAGAAAAGAAGAAAAAAATAATAATAATAATAAAGTATGGGTACAAGGTAAGAATTATGATTCATTTTCTTTCTTCTAATATGTAGAAATCCTATTTTTATTTAGGTATTTTGAGTGTTGCATGTGTTTCAAAGATGGTATTTTGTATGTGTTTAGATGTTGTATATTGATATATGATGTTAGGTATGAGATTTGATTAATGCATGAAAGTTATATCTTGATATTTCTGTGGGTGTATAAATTAAGTTAATATTGTCATTAAAAAAAAATTGAAGTGTGGTGGATACTTAGAAATTTTTTTTAATTGTTCTTGAATTTTCATGAAATTCATGGGATAGAATCCTCATACAATTTTATAATTTTATTAGGTATTTATAATTAGAAATTTTGTTAATTGTTCTTGAATTTTCATGAAATTCATGGGTATGAAATCTTCATACAATTTGATGATTTCATTGGGTATTTATAATTAGAAATTTTGTTAATTGTTCTTGAATTTTCATGAAATTCATGGGTATGAAATTTTCATGCAATTTTATGATTTTATTGGAAAATTATGTAAATTCAACTACATTTTGGTTACAATAATTTTATGAGAAATATTTACTTTTGATGTAATGACTTCGAGTAGGTAATCTTACTAGCTATGAATGAATTATTCTCATGGGACTCGCATTGATTATAACTACTAGTTTAATTTTTTTTTGAGTAATTGATATTACTAGATGTGGATGAGTTATTGAATGTGGATTGATTAAATTAAGAAATTTGCTTCGTGTAAACCAATTTGAGTAAAGTGATATTATTTATTAATACTCGAATGAGACTTTAAATAATGAGTGTCAGGTCCAGGGACGAGCGCCGTAAAGATCGCTGCTCAAAAAGCTCCAGCATAGGAGTTATCAACACGATAAATTTTCAACAAGGCACGTATGTACGCTAACATTTGGTTTTATCTACATGTAAAGGTTTTTTTTTTTTTCTACGTGACTGTCTAGCTTATGAGTTCTATTGTGAATAAATGGCTTAAGTGTTCTAATGTTACAATAGGAATAAGATGTCTTAGTGATAGATTATAATATTATGATTTAGTTGTCCGTGTGACAAGCGAAAAGATGGTTGAGACGATAAAGGGTCGGATGTCTAAGTGACATTTTATTTGTATAGTGAAGACATCAAAGGGACGAAAGCGAATTGTTAGACTGTAATGTCTGCGTGACTAAAAGTAACCCAACTGTTCTAGTTTGTCCTCGTGACTGAGATAAGTTAAAGCTGATTTCGTCTAAATGACGGAAGCTAAATATTTGATGTGATGTGAGTTGATCAAAAAAATAAAATAAAATATCGAGAAAAAGATATATTTGGTTAAGTTGTCTGAATGATGATCATATACTGATATGGTGATAAACTTGTGTGGTGTTTTGTCACCTGGGCGACAAGACAGTTATTTCTGTGTGAAATCGTAGCGCAATGAAATAGAATTTTGAGAAAAGTTATGGAACCACGAATATTATTGTGTGATGTTTTGTCGTCTGTCTGGGTGGCAAGATGGTTATTTCTATGTGAAACCGTAGTGCAATGAAATAGAATTTTGAAAAAAGATAAGAAAACACAAATATTTAAATTCCATAAATGAGCAAAGACATCACATTATTTTCTTTGCTCTATCTCTGAACTCATTAATGAGAACTTACTGAAATTTGTTTGAAAACTTTCAGGTAAACTGTACACAAGCTTGCAGTCCACTGCCGCAGCAATATCAGTCAGCCATAAACTTTGCGTTTGTGGATGGAATCCAGTCAGGAGTGTTGGGAAGGACTCGTGTCAGTTTCTTATGTTTTTTTTAAAAAAAAATTGGGTTATATATGATGTCAATATTTTGGTTTTGTCATGTAAACAACACTTGTAAATATTTTTAGGATATGTATATTCTACATGGTAGCATGTGCCACGTGCATATGACTTTTCTTTAAAAAAAAATAATTCTAAGATAAATATTTCTAAAATGGGTTTTCTTTAAATGTCATATTATAATGTTTTATTAATAACGGTATTGCCTAAATTTTATTCTTATAATAATAATGCAGTGGGATTGGGGTGTTACACATAAGGTTAACTTTGATGGATTTTATATTTCTTTTTCACAGGAAATGAGTAAATAAAATTAATCAAAAAATGGATTATTACATTGAGAGGACAAAGGTAACACCACAGCATTAACCATGTAGACTAAAATACAATTGTCTACTTGGTTTATGGGGGGCACTTTATCCAAATTCATAGCCCACCATTGCTTTTTAGGATTGCCCAAAACAATTGTTTACTTAGAAAAGTCAATGTAAAAGAACAGAGGATTTCCAGGTTGAGATGGAACGTGCACTTCATTACTTGGTGGACTGTATTACTGTAGAATATTAGGTCATTTCAATTAAGGGTATTATAGTAATCTTCACTTTATTATGAGTTAATATAAATATGGGTAATGATAGAAAAGATTGATTAACTCTCACTCTCCTAAACCCTGATTTCTAATCTCTTCCTTTCTCTTCTCTCTTCTCTTGCCTCTTCTCATTGCTAAACTATCGATCTTTAGATTTCAACTTGGTATCAGAGCAATCAAACGAAAATTCGAAGTCAAAGGTATATTCAGGAAGGCGTTGAGAGGTTGTTGTGTTGTTGACGTCATCGCTGGAATTTTCAAAAACCAACATGTCTAAGTAGGTTTTGCCTCCTAAGTATGACGATGATTTTTCTTGAATTTTTTGAAGCCATCTAAATTTTTTTTTCGAAATTTGAATGTTTTTCGAGTCATATTTCGCAATCTACGATTCAACTGAGAATCAACCTGTTCCAACGACCCAAATGGTACCTGTGGGTGCCGATTAGGCCTTCTAGGAGCTTCAGTGGAGTTCCTTGCACTACCCATTGATTTCTAGGCATTTTTTCCTTTAGCAGTGAGCTTTTCTTCCTTGAATATGGATTTTTTCTTCCAACCTTAGTTGTTTGCTCCGACAGTGACACCTTCTTGCTCCAGCAATGGTGATTTACTCTGGGCAGTGGTGTTTTGACTTCAACTGTGATTCTCCGGCTCTGCTTGATTTCAGCAATGACTAGCTAGTGCTCTCCAGGTTTGGGCTTTGTGTTTTTTTGATACTAGTCGTCTTTGTGGAAGTTTTTTGGAGAATGTTGCTAGGTTTTGTCCTTTGCATTTCCAATTGCTAGTTTGGTCCCTTTGTGTGTTGGGTTAATCCCAAAATTGGTATCCCACAGTTGGCTTGTGTTAGGAAAATTCTCTTTTGCTTAGAAGACATGTCTCAAGGTAGTGCAAAATCTACCAGCACTAAGAAAAGTGGGTTGAGTCATGTATGGACTCTTGGATATAACCCTCCCCCCACGGCAGTCCAATGAAATTGGATTGAATAATTATTTGGCCCAATCTCGATCATGCTTATTATTAGTGCAGACAAGTGGAATAAATAGATACTTGACATGAATAAGTAAAAAACTCAAATCTAAACCTAATCTTAGTCGATGGATCTTTGAACACTCGTTAGTAATGACATGGTTACTCAATTCGATATAGCCTCACATTAGTCGTGGCTTTCTATTTCTTTAGACAACCTATGAGATTTGATCAACAGTGGCTCAAACATATTCACAAGTCAAAATAATGGTCATACTTATGAGCTCTGAAAGAAGATTCATAAACCTAAACGGAAGGATATGAATCTCACAGAGTACTACGCATGATTGAATAGTCTGTGACAGGAGCTGGATTATTACCAGAATCTTCAAGCAGAATGTGGTGCAGATAGTACTAAGTTGCATATGTTGATACAAAAAGAACAAGTATATGAATTCCTTATAGGTTTCAATATGGAATATGATTAGATTCGTATACAGGTCTTGGATAGAGATCATTTTCCTTTCTTGAGGCAAGCTTATTCTTTTGTACGGGAAGAAAATAAAAGAAAGTCAAGCTTCATACTCTTGCTCATGATAGGTTTACTCTAGCAACTATACCACAGAGAGAGAACAAATCTTTTCAATAGGGGCATGGACAAGGATCTGTTAAAACGTGACTACTGTTGAAAGACCACCATTATTGGAAGCT